ATGTCCAAGTCAGGAGCTGCACTAGCTGCTAACCACATAGGTTGTAGTTGGTCACGCATGTCATAATTGTGAGATGTGATGTCATTTGTGGGTATTGAGGGCTGGAGTTGGGAGCAACACAGGTTGTGGACCACGAAGGTCGTAGTAAGTCACGTACATTGTGAGCTGCAATGATATTCATAGTTCGTAAGGGCCAGAATAAGGAGTTGCACGAGCTATGAATCACAAATGTCATAATTGATCACATAGGCTGTAGAGGTGAGCTGTGATGATGCCCATAGACCGCGGGGGCATGAGTCTGGAGTAGCATGAGTTGTACACCACTAGGTTGTGGTTGATCACATATGTCATAAAGGTGAAATGTGATGGTGTTAGTATACCATTGAGGCCAAAGTTAGGAGTTGCACGAGCTGTGCGCCATGTATGATGTAGTTGGTCACGTAGTTCGTAACGACTAGCTGTGATGACGTCCGGAGGCAACAAGGGTTGGAGTTAGAAGCTGCATGTGATGTGTGTTTTGTATGTCATAGTGGTGAGCTGCAATAATGTATGTAGGTTGCGGGGGCTGGAATTACGTGGTGCATGATTGAGTAGTGTGTCGCGTAAGCCAAAGTGGTGAGCCACGATGACGTCCATAGGTCGTGGGGGTCACAGTCGGGATGTGCATGAGATGCGGACCACGTAGTCATAGTTAGTCTCGTAGGTTGTAATAGTGAACTACAAAGACATCTGGAGGCTATGGGAACCAGAGACGAGAGCTACATACCACATAAATTGTAGTTGATTACGTAGGTCATAGTAGCGAGCTGTGATGATGCCCGTAGCCTGAGGGGGTCGGAGTCAGGAGCTGCACAAGTTATGCGCCACATAAGCCATAGTGGTGAGTTGTGATGACGTCTTTAGTCCATGTAGGGGGGATGGTGGTGTTAGGAGCTGCACATATGGAGGTTTAAGAGTTCGAAGAAGTTCACTGTCTTTGGGATGTATTGTTATGTCGTCTTTGGGAGGTGTCGTTGCACGACAAGTGGGTGTGTTATTACTTTGCAATGTACATTGAGGTTTCACAGTGAACATTCAGACTTTGCAAGGGACTTCACTATAATAAACAAAATTATAATAGATAATAATATTGTAATTATTGTGCATAATACTAAATATATTTAACTTAAAAAATTTCACGCATTTTGTGAGAGCCGCCAGGTGGTGGAAATTGTCTAAAACTATTGTATATATCATCTCATCTCGCTATGTAGTGAGACCACATATTGTATCTCAAATATTAATAACTATAACTCCTCTTTGAGTCTAACAACTCAAGCAAAATTGCAACATCCAGTGCTCTCAAATGTGATGATAATTATTAAGTTATCTAAGTGCATAAAATCAGGGGAGGGTTGTGTAGAAATTTTTTTATTTATATTACATTTATTATGTGTTTTCTGTCAAAAAATGGAAGTAATAACAATTTAGTGAAGTATGGAGAACTGAGCCTATAATATCTTGACACCCAACACACAATGCCATATCATATGACACTATAATTCTTAGGTAGACTCTCGAGAGCTAAGCGCCACAACGTTGTTTTTGAGCATCATAGTGTAAAAATCCAGCACCACACCACTAAATCTACAACATAGTAGTGATGAAGGAGATACAAATCTTAATTGAACTCCTCTTGAGCTTGGATGGAGTGGGTTTGAGGGCTTAAGATGATGTTAATTCATTTGGGGAAGTGGTTTGGAGGGTCCATGAGGCTTTTGGTGTTGTTAAATTGGAAAATTGGAGGGTGGATGTAAGGATCATACTTGCTCCTGTCTCGACTTGGTGAAATTGATGGGGGGAATGATGGGGCATTGGGCCAAAGTTAGTAGAGAAGTGATTAAAAGGCTAGGCTCAGGATTCAAGAGGAATTTTGGTAGAGCTTCACTAAGGTTTTGGAAGTGTGTGGAGCTCAACTTGAGAGAGGGTATTTATAGGCTTTGTGTTTGGGTTGGGCTCTAGTTAGGCTAGGTTCACCAATTCTTAGTCCCTCGCTATGTGATAATGTTAAAGGAGGGCTTCATTAGGATTTGGCCACTTGGATGGTCAACTTTAGTGTGCTACCAATGATGGAGCTCCCTTTGAACTCTGAGATGTTCATGGCTTGCAAGGAAATATTGGAGTTGGTTAGGCTAGTTTGGGTGAACTCCTTGGGTTGTTAAATCAGTTGGGGAAGTAGGTGGTATGGGCCAACGAGGTTAGGCCACGTGGAAAGGTGGTTGAACTAATAATTGTTGCATTGGAAGTGGTTCTTAGATGGCTTGGTAATTGACTGAAAATTGATCACTTGAGCTTGCAATTTGTTCAGATAAGGAGTGATTTAAAGGTGAGCCAAGATGGTCTGGAAAGTGGCTTGAAATTACTAAGTTTGGCTTGGCTTCAACAAAATCGACTTTGGATTGGATTTTCTTGGATTTGGATAGGATTGCAAGTGGATAGCAAGTGTTCTTGAAGCTCAATTTGGGTGAAGATTGAAGCGATCAATTGGCAAATGGGAAGGCTCAAATTGGATGGCTTTGGTTTGAGATTACATGGTGAGTGGAGTGTTGTGTGTGTGGGTGAACAATTTGTAAATGGGTGCAATGAATTGTGAAGAGTTTTAATGGGTGCAATGAATTTGAAAATTTTAATATAAATGGGAAGTGGGTTTGGGGGGATTTTAAAATGAAATTAGGGTGAGTAGTGAAAGAATGCGTGAAATTTTTTTTATCTTTTTATTGAATTTTATGAATGAACTATTATGTGAAATTGGTTATTGACAATTTTTTTTATTTGTGTAATTTTTTTTTTGAATTGATTTTTTGAATTTAATTTTCATTATTATTGAACCAGCTTCAATTATCATTAATTTTCCATTTTTATTATTTTTGCGTTTATTATTGAATTTTTGCTTATTTTTGAAATGAATTTGATATTTTTATTGTTTTTCAAATTTTATTCTTATTTTCATTCTATTGTTCAATTTTGAAATTATTTTTATAATTTTAGGATTTAATGAAAATTTGGTAAATTTATTCTTCATTACATTTCAATTTGGATTTTATTTTTTTGAGTTTTAAGAAGTTTGATTTTATTTTATTTCAATTTTGGTTGAATTTGTGAATTTTTTTTCTCTTTTTATTGACAAGATAAAGCCTATATATAGTTGAAAATAAACATCATATCCAATGTATTTTTTATGAACTAAAGATTGAGTTATTAAAGGAATTTAAAGAAGAGTGTGCAAAGTGCCTATAGAAAGACCAAGTAGAAGACCTTAGTATTTAGGAACAAAGCGCTGCTTAGAGAAATTCCAAACATATGGGGACTTAATTTATGCTTCAATGACTTTACTTTAATCAAATGAACCAATTGCTAAAGATTCAAAGTCAGATACATGAAGCTATATGAAGTTGAAATGTGGTTTAAAGTTCTAGCTTGATATTGGTTCAATCACCAGTCCTCTAGGAAAAGCGACTAAGGAAACCTTAAAATTAAATCATAAGTTCCAGAGAGAGAATGAGCGAGATATAAGTTCCAACACTATCTTTTTAAAATATAACAACAAATTGGGCGAGTTAGGTGCATTTGTGCCCGCTTCAATTAATCTTCAAGATTGAGCCATAAGTTCCAACACTATTTTCTTAAAATATAACAACAAAACACTTTAATATGCATGTGATAATCATTATGGTTTTAAACGGTTTGAAGGGTAGATAACAACAATTTCCACAATATATTGTAAGCCTAGGAGACTCGGGCTTCAATCCTTGATGGGAGTGAAGTCCATTTGTCTCATCTTCTTAGACTAGGTTTTAGCTTCTTACCCTTACTGGAAGAACTCATCTTAGTTTAGGGTTTGAGTTAGTCATGTTACCTTTTTGTCATAGGACAAGTCGTCTCTTAGGCTTTTCATGACTCATCTCACAGAATATAAGTTCTAGTATTCTAAAATTAAAACAAGTTCTAGTATTCTAAAATTAAAACGACCAACTTGAACTACATATTAAATTTAATTTCTAAACTGTAAAACCCAACCGAAGCATAACTAGAGCTCCACTAGGCTTCTCAGTGTCCAGTGCTACCTACTCCTCATTCGTTATCTTCTAGTAAGAACTCTTCCAAGTTTAAGACAAACCATTTTAAAATTTCAAGTTAACATCCTTGAAATCCTGCTTTGAGGTCCTTATAAACATTAACCAAATATTTTTTAATCAAGTGTTTCTAAGAGATTAACCCTTTCTATGATATAATTAACTAAAAATGCTTGCTTTATTAGAGATATTAGACTCCACAATTAATATAAACCATTTTTTATAACTTTGGAGCAGGAGAAATGCTTTTAATGTGCAGACACTCGGAGTAATGAAATAATTACATTGGGATCGGATCTATCATTAGGCAATATCCCTCAGGATGATACACTATTTCTCTTGTCACATTCGATTACAAGAGAAAATTTTCAAAACTACGTGTGTAATGCACGCATTCCGTCTCCCTAGAGGAAATACTCTCAAGCACATAAAAATCACATTTTTTTTCATTTTTATTAAATTCTCAATGATTCTATTGTGACACAATATAACAACACCGATTTAACAAATCATAAAATAACACGGTGCTACTTTAATAAATAACAATTTATTATTATGCATGCAATTATTTTTTATATTTAATAAATTTTTAATAATCTAATTATAACATATGTAAATAAATACATGGGGGCATTTATATCCATTTAAATATCCAACACTTAAAACTTAATTTCTACATTATCATCATTCAAATCTTTCCCAACCCATTAATAATATCATTATTATATATTTTTTAAAAATTTATATATATATAAACATAAAAGGAAAGATAAAATCAGCGGAAAAGGGCAAAATAGTGGACAAATCGCTTTCAGAAGAAGCAAATGCAGGAAAAAAAAAAAAAAAAAAAAAAGAAACTCGAATCCCGTGGGATGGAATAAGATTCTCCCCCGACAACCAAATCTAATAAAAAAAGCATGCCCTCCTCGTAATCCTCTCCGACCGAGCGGCCCCCACTGTTCAGGCTTCCTTCAGCACCATCATGGCTTCCTCCACTATTTCTCCTCCCCCCCTCTCTGTTCTGATCTCCATTGACGGAGCAGAGAGAGCTTCTGAAGGCTGCTGAAGCTGCCATGGAGAAGGAGAACAGGAAGGAAGACGAAGTGGAGGTGAGCGAAGGAGAGGGGAAGTTAAAGGTGAGGATTTTGGTGGTGGATGATTCTGTGCTTGATAGGAGGGTTGTGGAGAGGCTGCTTAGCGAGAGCGAGGAGGGCTTTGAAGGTAAGCAAAAGAGGGATTTTTAACTTTTTCCCCCCAATTCTTATGTATTTATGTATCTCGCATCAAAGTTTTGATTTTTACAAATACAGCATTTTACCTATGCATTAAAAATGTGATTTTTATGTTGAAAAGGGTGGATTGGGTGTTGTGTTTGTAAAAATCAAAGTTTTGGTTTGAGAGACATAAATGGATAAGAATTGGGTGCTGTGTATGTAAATTCCATTTTTTTTTTTGGAAGATTTAGATACATACCTCCCAATGTCTATGTATTTACGTATCTAACACCTAAACATTAGTTTTTATGTGATAAATTTACATTTATAGCTCATAATTTTTATGTATTTATGTATCTCACATCTAAACTTTTATATTTACATGCATAACACCATCTATATATGAAAAGATGGATTTGGCTATTTAAAAGTGCTAATAAGTGTTGTTTTAATTTAAAAATTTTGGTGTTAGATTTATAAATTCATAAGAATTGAGTGGTATGTATGTAAATGCCCCTTATACAACCTTATGCATGAGAATTTGCATTTTTTTTATGTGATCTGAGCGATTTGGGTGGTATAGATGTAAAACCTAAAAATTTAGGTGTTAGATATGTAAATACATAAGATTTTGCAATTTTCTTCATCCAAACTATTTGAATGTATGTTAAATCAGGCTTTGAAATGCTTGGGTTGATTTTTTTCCTATTAATATTACATTTATATATTTTATTTAAAAATTAATATTAAATATTTTCACTTAATTTATATGAGAAATTGAATTTATAACTTTTTTTTTTTTTACATTTGTGCCCCAAATTAGGGGCAAACTATGAAAATTTGTCCAATAATTATAGTTAAATAGAGCCATAAGAGAAATTATTCAGAGCACCAAGAACATTTAAGCTTCTATGCATTTTCTAATTTAGTACCTTATTTTTGCTATTTTAGCACATTGCAATTTTAGCACATTGTAAGCTTCTGACTGAAAAAATTTTCGTACATAAGACGTACGCAGAGCTGTGTACGTCTGTAACCTGCAAATAGGTTACATAAAGGATATTCGGAGGTGATAACCGCGTTATATCCCCTGTAACCTATCTGTATATGAAAACAAAAGCGCGGAACTTACTGGAAGGTACAGGGAGGTTACAGGGGGTATAATGCGGTCATAGCCTCTCAATATTCTTCTTGTAACATATTTACAGATTACAGAAGTACGCAGCTCTGCGTATGTCTTATGTACTCAAATTTTTTCCCTGACTTAATGGTGTTTTTACTAATTATATTTTTGTTTTAGTTATTAGCGTTGATAATGGAAAGAAGGCGATGGATGTATTGGGCTTACATGAAGTTGAATCTGAACCAACTGCTATTAATGTTAGTATTCTGTGATCATTTATCAAATAAAATGAAAATCATTATTATTATTATTATTATTATTATTTACCTTTGTTTATCTCACAATACCATTGACATTGTTAATTTATTATGGGGATTATTTTTGAAAGCCTAGACTTAGTTGGTAAGATTTAGTCATGAATTTAGCGTAAATCTAATGTTTTTTTTTTCTTGTTCCATCTTTTCTTCTTGCGTTCAGTCACTTTTATAGCATAAATTTGAATTTAGTAAATCTGATTGTGAGACAAATTTAAGAATTTCTTCTGTGGTAGCTCGCGATCTCATTTTCCTTGGATAGAGCATTGGATTTACTGGATTTCGATCGAAATTCGGTATTTACTACTTGTGGTCATACAACATCTTTGTAAATTCAAATTTAGTAAAGTTTGCTAATAAGTTTTAGACGTTGTTCGGCTGCGGATTTTAAGCAGGATTCATATAGGATTTATGTTAAATCCTGCCAAACGGTAAAGAAGACGTTGGTAAATCCTACAATTCTTGAATCCAGTTTTTCGTCCATTTTTTTCCTTCAATCTCGGATTTAGTAAATCCAGGGATTTGGAGAAGCTAAAGCTTGAGCGAAGATAAATTATATTAAACTCTACTAAAGTTGCTGAACAATTTTTTTGGATTTATAAGGATTTACTTATTAACATACCAAATAGTTTTGAGGATTTAACTCATTTAAAATTTCATAAATCCGGATTTACGCAACCAAACATGACGTGAAAAGAAATTGAAAAAGAACTTAATTTATTAAATTTTAAATTTGAAATTGCCTTATTTTTTTGTTTGACAATATTTAAATTAATTCTTATTTAAATCCATCACCGTACGGTACTTTAGCCCCTTAGTTTTTCTAGTGGGTTAATTATTTATTTATATTTGAAATAATATTGGAATTACACTCATGTAAGTAATTTGGAATGATATATTAAATGTTTATTGAATAAACAAGTAAATTCTGTTTTTTTTTTTTTTTGGGGCATTTGCATACATACCTCCTAATTCATAAGAATTTACATATTTAACAGGGTTACTTTATTTTTATATTTAAAGAGTGAAATACACATTTTCATGCATAATGTCACACTCTATCATCTTTAAGAATAATTAGCAAGCTAACAATAGAAAAGAAAGATTCTAGAGAAAATCAAAATGATTAGAGCAATTCAAGGGACTCTAGAAGATTCAAAGACATTCTAGAAAAAACGAGAAAAAATGAGAATAGTCCAAGAAATTCTAAAAGGTTACGCATAAATTAAAAAATTTTGTTGAAATATGCAAACTTCAAGAGAACTTTAGAATATTCTAGAAAGTTTTTGAATCATGTATAGTCTAATGTAATCTAGAAAGTTCTCTTAGTCTTGGAGAGCACTATGAATAGGAGTCTCCCCCTCATTTGTATCCATTCAAGAACCATTCAAGCTTCTCAAGTATTCAAGTGTTAGAATTACTTTCTTAGTGAATTATTTCCTTCTCCAATACTTCCCCTACTCTTTTTCTGAGAGTGCTTAGCGCATAACAAACCCAGGCGTTGTGGTGGTTAGGCTGATTTAGTGTCAAGGAAGAGAGCTAAAGTCGCATGTATGACTTGAGATAAGTCAGTCCATGACACTAATGAGATGCATTTAAACAATAAAAATTTAGTTGTTTGACATGTAAACAGTGAAGGAATTTTGTGGGTATGCATGTAAATCTTCCTTTTTCTTAAAATAAACAAGTAATATATGTTTGTGCAGGTTCAGAGCATAGACATTGTTCTCACAGATTACTGCATGCCAGGAATGACCGGCTATGATCTCCTCAAGGCTGTTAAAGTATAAAACTTTATATTTTTTATTTGAGTTTGTGATGTATTTTATTATTTAATGCAATTATCTTAGTTTTACTCTCTTTTAAACATTTCAGGGGCAGAACTTTCCAAAACCCATACCTGTAGTGGTAATGTCATCTGAAAATGAGCCTCAAAGAATTAGCAGGTTTCTTAACTGCTTATAAGCATAAGTTAAATTTTATTTTTAGGACTATTAATTAATTTTGAGCATTTAAAAAAAAAAAACTGAATTGTACAAAATATATTAAAAATGCAAGAATTTGGATTTTCATTACTCACTCAGTTATCATGCAACATTCTTTTTCTGAATCTTCTGTCTCATTGTTCAGCTGCTAACATAAACTAACACTTGACTCAGATGCCGGGCAATCGGAGCCGAGGATTTCATCCTGAAACCGATTCAGATAAAGGATGTGCAGAGGCTGCGAAACTACGTGAAGCCAAATACTTCACCACCCTCAGTAGGTTTGAAGAGAAAAATAGCGGCATCGCTGGAGCTCGCGGTTGAGAACGGAGGCTCGGAAAAGAGACCCCGACTCGCCGGAGTTGTTGTTGCCTGAGTAAAAGCTTTATACTGAGGGGGCCATCACTAAGCTATCACTTTTACCTGTCTGTTTATTCTCTTAAATCTTTTACTGTAGCTTTTTATGCTTTTTGTTGTTGTATTTGTGGCTGTGTAATGGGGTTTTGTGTGAATGTTGTGTTCATTTTAGAAAAAAGAAATTTGAAGAAGATGGTGATAGTTTTTTTGATGCAGTGATAAGCTGCTTATATGCATACTGAATATGAATTGCTATGCAGATTACTTGCTAATGGGGGTCATGTCACCACAATCAATTATAAATTTTGCTTGTTATGTATTACAATCTGACACCAAAAATTTGCCTTTTTTCATTTATGCTAAGTCAATTATTTCATGTTCCATAAGAAAATATCATAATTTAGGCTTTTAAAAGGGAAAAATACATCATTTCATGCATAGGGATGTTGGTGGTATGTAAGCTAAAAGTTGAGGTTCAAGTGTTGATATGAAAATATATAGGAATTGAGTGGGTTGTATGTAAATTTTCTTTATATCTATTGTTTTTTTTAGAAGTAGGATGTTCTTTCAATGGTGTTGGTAAAAAGAGTTGTGATATCAAAATAGCTTTGTAAATTGCTGGGTGGTTGAGTGATTAATGCATCATTGTAATTTAAATATTTTCTTTGGTTAAAAATTTGGTTCTTATTACATTTGTTATGATTACAATGTATGCATTCTAAATAATGTTTATATTGTCGTGCAAAGTAATGTTGAAAATAAAATATCAAAAGCAAATAATCAAATACAGTTTGATTTACATAATTTGAAACAAATCTGCCTGCATTCATTGGGAGAGTTTATTCCACTATCAATAGGTGGGGAGGAAAATATGGTCGAAACTAAGATTGCAACTCTATGCACAAAATCATTCATAATGTCTTTCGATAAATAAGAGAGAATTAGTGCGTTCAAATTAGAAATATTTATAATATAGAAATGATCCCATGAATAGATCTCTTTTAATTAGGTTATCGAGTATCTGAACTTCTTAATATTGAAAGATTATGTAGTTAGCTCGACTCAAATTAGATTCAATACTTTCTATAAAAATTTTTAACTTATCTCTCACTTTGATATAAGTGGAAAATGAATAAAATGAATTTCAATAATGAAATGATTGCATCAAAATGACTGTCTATGTATCTCTCTCTCGAATGAATCAAGTCTCATGTAGTTCTTTAAAATGCCTGAATGGGCAATCAATCACAAGTTTGGGTGTTCAAAATACTCCTATAGTTGGTGAACTTCTTGAATAATAGTATTTTTGTAAGTATGTCCGTTGAAATTTTCTTTGTATCTATCCTTTCAACAATTGAAGTCATCACCTCCATCTTAAGTTCATCTTTTTTTCATGCAAAGACACTCGAGCTCTTATGAGCAGTGATGAATTCACCACAAACATCATACATATAATTTCTCTAACTCTTTAGAGCAAACTAATTATGGTTGGCTGTTGTCCACGGTTAGGATGTTTTTCTTATGCCTCTTAAGCCGTGTGAATGCATAAGAGACCACTTCCATGTTGAATTAGAACTCAACCTAATTGCTAATGTGAAACAACAATATAGATCTAAAATTTATTTGTGCCAGAAGGAATAATTTGAATATGAGCTAAGACCAAGAAGTTCTTGAGCTTCTAAGAACTTTTATTACAAACATCAAACCATTTAAACGTAATAATTTTTTTTTATTTAATCAAGTTAGAGGTGTAGCTATAATAGAAATTTCTTAGAATAAAAATGTTTAATAGTAACTAGCTAACCCAAAAACTACGAATCTCAATGATAGTATTAGGGTATCGTCAATCTATTATCACATTATTCTTTTTAGGATCTATACAAGTCCCAACTTATTTGATAACATGTCTTAAAAAAAGTCATTTGTTGAAGCCAAAACTCATACTCAATAAACTTGGCAAGGATATATATTTTTTTTATAGCATTTAATCTTGTTCTAGGATGTTAAGGTTGCTCCTTTTCACACTTAGAAAAACTTAAATTTTTTTCAATAAATATGAAAAAAACATAGTCTAAACATGATTTAAAATTATTTATTAGATCCATAAAAGCAATAAGGAGATCAATCAATCTAAATGGAATAATGAAAAATTCATAATGACCATATCAAAATCAAAAAGCTATCTTACGCATACTTCATTCTTGATCTTTAGTCAATGATACCCTTACAAAAAATTAATTGTTAAGAATACAAATGAACCTTATCGTTGGACCAATAAGTCATATATGTGTGGTTAATGATACTTATTATTTATAGTTATCTTTTCTAGCCCTTGTAAATGATGCACACTCACATTCTTCCATCTTTTCTCTTCATGAATTGGATGTGTGATCCCCAAAATTAAACATTAGGTCAAATAAATCCTTTAGCAAGTCGTTCTTGTAATTGAATGTTAATCTCTTGGAGTTCAACAATAATCATGTGATATGACGCCTTAAATATTAGAGTGATATGAGGAACAAAATTTATGGTGAACTTGATCTCATAATTAAGTGACAAGCTAGGCAAATCATCAAAAAATAAATTAGCAAATTTGTCAACCATGGGAACATTATCTAAATTAGCATTAGCCTTATGAGCATGTATTACATGAGCAAGATAACCAACACACCCATGATAGATCATTTGATTAGCTTTAATTATTGATAAAAAATAAGATAGAGCGTCTTTAATTCCAAATGATGTCAATCGCAAAAGTAAGGGAAAATAAAATTTACTTCATTTAATAAGTTACAGTCAACCACTAATACAATTAACAAAATAACTTAAAACTATAATTTAAATGATAAATAAATAAACAAACTAATTAAATCTAAATGAAGTATAATAAAATAAAATTGAGAATTCTCAAAATAAGATTGACCAGTCACACTAATAGAATCTCCTTTAAGAAAATTATCATGAACGAATTTCACAAATCAATACTAGTAAATATTCACGATATATTATAGCATAAAGAATAAATTATTGAGGCATGCAACATTAATAGCTAGAGGTAATATATATATATATATGCAAGTGTGGATCTAGGTAGTGTCCAGAGGGGGTAACTGCACACCCCCCCAATCATATATTGGAAGGGCAGTATATCTCATATATTAATACAAATTATAATGATATTATAATAGTAAAGGATATATTCAAGCAATTTATAGTAGAATTGTTATTATGATTATGAGTATGAGTAATTGTAAAAAAACCATTTTATGCTAGTATACATATGTCATAAAATTACGTACACCCATGCATATCCATACATGACTCACTAGTCATATTTGATAAATTCTGAATATACAATGCAAATATGTATATGGTATATGTATATGACACACACACACACACACACACACACACACACACACACACACACAGAGAGAGATAGAGAGAGAAAATTGAGAATTCTCAAAATATATCTAGTACTTTTCTCTGGTGAAGATTGATCAAACACACTAATAGGATCATTTTTAAGGGAAATTATCATGAATGAGTTTGACAAATCAATAGTAGTAAATAATGATAATATATTAAAGCATAAACAATAAATTATTGAGGCATGCAACATGAATAGCTAGAGGTAATATATATATATATATGCAAGTGTGGATCTAGGTAGTGTCCAGAGGGGGTAACTGCACACCCCCCCAATCAAATTCAAATTTGTATCATAAGCATTTAATTACAAGAAACACCCCTATATCAAGTAAGAATTAAAAAAAATAAATCTAAAATAAACAAAACATGCAAGGATAATAAATACCAAAATTACAAGAAACTACTCAATATAAAAGAATCAACGTAGCAACGAATTAAGGAAAATTTATTTGTACAATCAATTTTCTCATTTTTAACAAAAAAAAAAAAAATCTATTAGTATGCATATAATAAGTAGATAATATTAATGCTAGACTAGCAAACTTACAAAATAACTAAGAACATAATGCAAATTACAAGGATAAGTTCACTATAAAATGACATGTTTATCCATTAATAAATATTAGTTAATTAATTACCTCAAGGAGAGAACTACAAAATTATAATTCTTTTAGGGATTCCACTAATGATGTGTTGTGAAACTCAGCTTGAAGGCTCTACATATCAATAGTCCTACGTTAATCACAAAAGTTCAATTAATATTTGAAGATTAAAGTTAATTAAGATGGGTGCAACTTGGATTGAATAAACTTCACTAATAATCCTTGTTTATTTATTCTTATCATAAGCATTAGACTTATTCTTCTAGATCGTTAATTGGAATTTTTTCTTGGATATATATATATATATATATATATATATATATATATATA